ATATTGCTCGATATTGCCACTAACACAGACGAGATACCTCGTCTTACGAGGACGGTACACGATTTTTCGGACGGCCTGTGATTTCTCTTCGCAGTCGAAAAGAAGAGGAGGAGGATCGCGAAAGAGCTTGATCAAATTGACCCTTGTTCTCATTCGCTATCCTAAACCGTGAGAATAAGCTTCTTTCTACTTTCTTTGTCTTATCTTTTTTTTTTTTTTTTTTAGGAGCAGGATATGAAATTCTCAACGAGAGAGACGAGTGTTAAAATAAAAGAGATTGCAAGATTCTGTCGCTTGCTAGCCTTAGGATTTTCTAATTCAACGCAACTGCATCACACGATCTTGGGGAATCGTTGGGTTTCATTTAAAAAGTAAAGCCGAATAAAAAATGAAATAAACAGCGGATAGAGAAACGAGATATAAATATATACTTTTCTTTTTCGTTTTTTTCTCTCTCCCATTCTTCTGTTGTAGAGAACTGCAGATTAAGTGGCACGCGTTTTGATTTGACGTAACGTTCAGCTAAACGCCTTTCATCAGTTAAACTTCGAAAAACATTGAAGCAGAACACTCCAATACCAGCTGGACCACCATTTTGCTTCAGGCAAAATTGCAACAACCGCGGTAAAAAAAAAAGTGGCAAAGTTATCGTACAATTGGTAAAGTAATTGATAATTACACGGCTGATATTGATCCGGAAGCTGTAATCTGTAACATTTCGTCGTGATCATGATTAAAAGTTCATCTGAATGATTTAACAATCTTGTTTCCATGTCGTTACTCTATAATACTATAATTGAGCATAGAAGATCGTTTCAGTGATCGATCCTTGCCAACTACCTCGTTATTCTTCGCCTACGTATGTAAATCGAACTTGGTCCATTGAACGTCAGGTTCACTTCGTCTATTGCTCTCTTATAATACACGCGTTCTTAAAGTCAGTATAATACAGATGTTTCCACTGTTCGAGGCTTCACCGTGTGTAATTTTTACCTGTGCACCTGTTGAAAGATACCGAACGATGTGTTTCACAGTCTTAATGTCTTGATATCTCGATATTTGAACAACTCGATCTAGAAATAACTTCAACGACATGTTAATATATTTTTAGATGCTGCTCAAAAAGCCTCCAATAGTGTCAACAGTGAATATCGATAATGTCGATAAATCATCCCTAAGTAATTCGTCCAATTACGTATGTCTCTACGAGAAAGGAAAGAAAGGGAAACAAGCCTTC